AGTATAGGACAACTGCTGGTAGACAGTTGCCAGTATAGGACAACTGCTGGTAGACAGTTGCCAGTATAGGACAACTGCTGGTAGACAGTTGCCGGTATAGGACAACTGTTGGTAGACATTTGCCAGTATAGGACAACTGCTGGTAGACAAAATGTCTACCAACAGTTGTCCTATACCGGCAACTGTCTACCAGCAGTTGTCCTATACCGGCAACTTATTTATAGCTTGTAGTCTACATTGATATGTTTTACCTCTCTGGTAATGTACTTGATTCTTCCTGAAACTGGATACCACCAATGGAAATGTTCTGCAAGTGGCCACTGCTAGCATCAATAGTGTATGCTTCTACTTTGTCACTCCAATCCCGCTCCAGCTCTTCTTTGGAAGTCATATTTTTTCTATACATTTTGTAGAGCAAATTAGCGCAAAATTGAGGTAGAAACACCTTAATTATTAATCATATTCAAGTTTAGAATATGTATGTATATATATATACTGAAAACAAAATATACAAACCAGAACTCAGAAAATACAGTTGTGTGAAAATTTATTGGAACAGCTCACAATTGTCTTTTTTTTTATCAGCTTTACCCATAAAATAATTAGTTATTCACTAATTTTACAGTAAAATATGACAAAATTAGTACACAAATAATGTATTTATGTTTTTAGTACTAATTAATATTAACTTCTGACCAAAGCAAGCTATATCCTTAGAGTGAAACTAAAAATCAATTTGGTAGTGAGCTTCTTGTATTTCTATCTATAAAGATTAAATCAGCATGATATCTTTGTGGCATTATGTCTATGTATTTTTCAAAGCTTCTGGTGTAATTTAATTCCATATTTCTTGAAGCTATTTTTAGAGCTATGGATTTCAAAAAATTTGAGATTTTTTTCTACAGGGTTAAGGTCTGGACTTTATTGTAACCATCCCAATCACAGGAGATTTGCTAATTTTTTTTTCCTTGCCAAATAAGCTTAATTTCTTGGAAGTGTGTTGGGGGTCATTATCTTTTTTGAAAGTTAACATTTTCCTTTTTTGTGTTTCTTATAGATGCTCTTTGCACCATATAAAGCTATTACCTGTTGCAAGCTGCCATGTAACTTGCTACACACACTTCAAGCATTGAACACAGTTGTCAATGTGTATTGTGCCAACCTATGACCTAATCATCATTAGACTTTAGCCCTCCACCAATAGGAAGGGGTCACATCTTCTACATATGGTAATCCTTTTGAGTACTGACATTTGAACAAAGGTTTGTTCATGATGAGGTAGACTAACTTTACTGGAAATGGGGATGAAGGATGGGAAGTGGTGCAGAAAGGCAAACATCTATCTACAATACATTTTCAGGTAAGGAACATGTTAATTTCAAAAACTCTACTCACTTTTTCACATGAAAGAACTGGAATCCCATATTGAAGATAATGGAGTGGCCAGTGCAGAGAAGGAAGATAAAAAACAGCATCAGAAAGGGAAAACCCATGGAATGTGATCCCCCATGAGGTGGGAGGGATAATCTAATATGGCAGTACTTGGTGAGAGACCACATCCATCTCAAGCATGAAATACTACTTACCCAATAGAGGTGACTGAACAAAATACATGATCATAAGAATTTTTTACAGGGTGCTAATGTGTCGCTAATGTTGGTGGAATGGCAGAATGCTCCACTGGCAATTATCTCACACTTCGCTAAGGCTAAAAGTCAGGCTCTACAATATTGAAGAAATACTTATGTGAAATACTCATCACAATCAGTTTTGGGAAGAATGGTCAATGGTGACCAGAGAAAATCAAAAGCCAGAAGTACAAACAAACCATCATGCAGTGTAGGTAATATGACATAGACATGTTAGGTGTTGTCCACATTCTGGCCTGTATGATCTCTTCCAGGGGATGAGATTGGTGAGAGGAAAGAGAAGCTGTGAAGAGATAGATATGATGGGAGATGATGTGATAAAGTTTGTGGGTTTCCTCATCCAAGGAAAACATTAACCAGATGAGTTGATGAACCTATCTGGTTAAAGTTGAAGGTAACAAGTCATAAGAGGAGGAGATATCCCATGGCAAGAACAAGAGATGTCGGTTTCTATGAAAGGGGTCAATTGAAGGAAGATAATATGCATCCTCATTCCTCCTGATTTTGTTTTTGTGAAATCTACATCTCTTAGTCTCAAAACAGTGTGTTGTGGTCTTTCTTTTATGTATTGCATTATGACATTTTGTGAAAAATCTGTACGTTATGGAGAAAAATGGATATTATTTTTGGATTCAGCATACAGGAATTACTGTCTAACATGTAAATATTTCAAGACAGTAAAACCATCACAGGCCTGTGTAATCAATCAATATTTCCAGGACATTGATATAAATGAACTACTTCTCTGGAGACCAAAACCCTGAGATGGTGGAAGTGTCCATAATCAACCCCAACCTGGAAAAAGAAGCATCTGTGCACAGATAGAGGTTGAGGCACAGAGAATACCCAGAGTTGCACTGACAAGGAATCACAAGGCATGTTCCACTGATCTTCCAAGGTCTACTGAAGAGGATATGTATGGGCATGTCCAAGAGGGATAAGAGACTTGAGGCAAGCCAGAGTACCCAAAAGCAGGAGAGCCAGTAAAAAGAATACAGCCTTCTTGGGATGCTAAAGAAGCACAGAATCTGAGGGAGGTTGAAAAATAACCATACAATGAAAAAGGAGAAAAAGAGTATGAAAACAAAAACAGACTCAAAGAGCCCATATGTGCACAAATATGCAGAGCATATAAAAGTAAGGAATTCCAAACAAGCAAATCCTCCCCCAAAAAAACAACAACAAAAAACTATGTTAATAAGGACATAGCAATAGAAGAGGTAAAGACCAAGGTAGAAAATAAGTAGGAATGATTGTTTCCATCAAAATTATCAGGGTTGCTATGGAAATCCTCCATGAGAAGGTGAAGCACTAACAAATAGTAAAATAGTTATGGTAAGACAAGGGCAAATGGACTAAAGGTAAGAAAGAGACAAAGTAGAAGAATAGAGGGCACCCCAAGCAGAAAGGAGACTTTAGGATCTGTGGTTTAAGAAAACCAGAAGGAACATGAACATAAACCACAGAAAAAGTCTCGAAGGCAAGGAGGACAAGGCTGACTGTGGATCATCATGTTGTTGGGACAGAAAGGCATCAGCATGAACACAATTGTCTGGAAAGGAGGGGGGGGGGAATAATTTGTGAAAAGAAAGCTCATAAAGCAAAATAACCTGAGACAAATCTAAAACTACTGGAGATAGAAAAAAATTTAACATATCTGAGTAATCAGAGTTGTAAGAGAAGAAGAAGGCAGAGGTACCTGTTCTTCATCAGGAAGAGAAGAACCAGAAGTAAAGGTGAAGGGGGAAGATCTGGTCAAAGTCATCAAAAGACAAGGTAGGCTCAGCAGAAGCAACAGAAACAACAATGATGGACTTGGATTCAAGAAAAATTGGACAGAAAAGAACCAATTACTTGATGTATAATGGCATTAACATCACTGGCAGGCAAAGTGTCTCCAGTAATCATTAAAACAGCAGGAGAAAAATTCTTAAATAAAGTGTCAGGACCTCAAAAAGTGGCAGAAACATGGATTTGAGAATTGATAGTGAAAAACAACCCACTAATCAAAAATGTTTTTTTTTCGTTATTATTATAAACCACAGTTATAAGGTGGTTAACGATAATGAGACAAAGAAATAATAACTCAAGGTGAAAGATCAAATTATCATGCAGATTCCACAAAATGTAAATAAAGCACAAGAAAAAACACATGTCAGAGCACAAGCAGTGCCATGAAAAGAATAAGCCTTTCATCAAGTGCTAGTGCTCATGGGGATTACTGCACATGTAGGACGTGTTGGCCCTCCTATTGGTGGAAGGCTAGTCCAATGATAATTACATAATAGGCTGGCACAAATCACATTGTTATGTGTTGGGGTTAGAGTCTAGGACAACTGCTGACAATTGTTGGTATAAGACAGCTGACGGTGGGCAATTGCCAGTCAAAAGATCTGAGTAATCCAAATTCCCCAAAAAAAACTTAATACATCTACTTTAAAGGAGGGTAGTCTAAATTTTAAACCAAAAGACCATTTAGAATTTTCATTTCCATTTAGTAACTATTTAATGATTAAATTTCTAACAGCTAACATTATATAATAACAGTAACTGCATATAACCTACAAAATTAAAATTGAAAAGTCATTATCTTAGGTAGTGATTAAAATGCTAATAATATTACTATAATAACACTTACCACAGATAATATTTTAAATCATAATGGAAAGGTTAACACTTTGGTGTACTAGAATAATTGCTTAAGTATAGTATAATTTAATATTTACCAAATTTAATGCTTGGATAAATTCTACCTTGGAAAATGATAAAAATAACACCATAGTTTTGTTTTCTAAAAAAAGACTAAAATAATCTTATTTGTATTACTCAAAAGTTAACCATAAAAAGGCAGCAGTTGTCCTATACTGGCAACTGTCTTACCGGCAACTGTCTACCAGCAGTTGTCCTATACCGGCAACTGTCTACCAGCAGTTGTCCTATACCGGCAACTGTCTACCAGCAGTTGTCCTATACTGGCTTGTATCTATTGATCAAAATATTTAACTTAAAGGTAAAACATATCATGTAGAACACAAGCTATAAATCATTTTATGTATTGATCAAAATATTTAAATCAAAGGTAAAACATATCAATGTAGAACACAAGCTATAAATCATTTTATGTATTGATCAAAATATTTAAATCAAAGGTAAAACATATCAATGTAGAACACAAGCTA